ACAAGGCCGAAATTAGGGAGCACCCAGTGAAGATCGAACTCACTATTCAGTCGTATTTGTAGTAGCGAGCCAAGCTTGCTAACCACTACACCGCCTCGAGGTGCCCCGAAGGAACTGACTATATAGAGACCTTTGGCTCCATCTTCCTTATGTTTTTTTTGTGGGGGGCGGGTAGCTTTTTCGCTTTTTCAGTTTTCTTGCTGGTTGCGTAGCAATTGTGTCTACTTTAGCGCTACTTTCCAGATTTAACCTGAAAATTCTTGTACACTTATGAGCTTCTTTTGATACAGAATAAAGCTTTATAATTTTTTTATGCTCCATTATGAGTTCTATTAGGTTGTCTCAAAAGTTCGTAAACACTTGCAAAAAATTAAAATTTTACTCGCCAAGTAATAACAAAAACAACAAAAATTATTCCTCAAAATAAAGACTATCATTTTCCAAGACTTTCTACCATCGATCTGCAAGCTTTCGGATCTGGTGAAAGTACCATTCAGCCGGCTTCGAATCAAAGAATTCTTGACACGCTTCCTCGACTTCATCAAACGAGTCAAATCGGCGGCCCTTCAGAAAGTGTTGCATTGAGCGGAAAAGGCCGTAATCTGATGGAGCACAGTCAGGACTGTAGGCTGGATGTGGCAGAACCTCAACGCCGTCCAGCTCTTCAAACTTGTCTTTGGTCTTCCTGGCGGTGTGTGGCTTGGCATTGTCCTGCTGCATCAAAGCGCGCTTTCGGTTGATCAGAGCCGGCTACTTTTGCTTCAACTTTTCGTAGACCCGCTTGTCTCGATTGTGTTGGACCAGATAGACCCATTTCTCGTCCGATGTCACAATGCGCTTCCAAAAACGCTCGTCCAATGGATTGCTGAGCAATTGACGGCAAATTTCAACTCGTCTGTTGGCTTGTGCTTCGGTGAGTTCGTGCGGATCTTGGCGCGGCTTTTTGTGAACCAAATCAAGTTGCTTCAAGTGTCGGTGAATTGTCGATTTGCCAACTCCAAGCTCATCAGCCAATTCTCGATAAAGTAAAAAAACAATTAAAAATTGCATAAAAATTCAATTTTTCGCAAGTGTTTACGAACTTTTGGGATAACCTAATAATATCCAATCTTACAAGATACTTATAAAATCCCACTGTTGAAATTCTGTAAGACAATTTCTGAAGAATCTGTCTATATCTCTGAAATAAGGTTTTTATGATTACTCGCATTATTTACATTATTCGGACTATTATCCTCATCTTCATTGACATATCCACAACGTTTCGGCCGTCGTACGGTTCAGCCTTCTTCAGGTGATTGTATTTCGAACCGAACCCTTTATTTCGTCCACTGGGTAGATTGTTCTAATTCCACGTGCCATGCCTCTTCCGGATGTCTCAGTTATTTCCCTTTAACTCAACTCTCCAAGTTTGGTTCACCACTGCTGTGGTCTGGTATTGAACTCATAACGCTTTGGGTCTAGTCACTGGATCTAACCAACGTCTTAAAGTCACTGTCCCATGTGTCCTTGAGGATAAAGACTGTTTTTGTCGTCTTTGATCGCGACTTATAGACGATTAGATTTGATTGTTTTTTGTCTCTATATTGTAAACTACCATAAAATTGTTACAGGTACGTATCTCTGTAACTGGGCCTGGGTGGTATTCATACCAGTTTCTCGCAGTCTCCTCCCTGTAAATCTTGCCAATATTCCAGTACAGATATTAGCCCATCCAGTCATGATGAGTTTTATATTCGATGGATGCCAATAGCCTGCAACCTGATACAAGACAGTCAATTGTTGCTGGATATTCAGTACGGAATCTGGATTTCGGGTTAACACATTTTTTCTGTGTTTGCTTGGTAATTTCTCGTTATATATATGTGAAAAGTGTGTATATAAAATATAAATAAATAAATATATATATATAATTATTTATATATTATATGCGCGAACTCACATCTATCCAACCAAATATATATATATATATATATATATATATATATATATATATATATATATATATATATATATATATATATATATAGTTTTAAGATATGCTATATTTATAAGCTTCTTTTTTGATACAGAATAAAGCTTTATAATTTTTTATGCTCCTTTGCAGCAAGAATTAAACCTTCGGTTTCAGCTTTTTTTTTTTTTTTTTTATTATTATTATTAGTAGTAGTAGTATTAGTATTAGTATTAGTAGTAGTAGTAGTAGTAGTAGTAGTAGTATTTTGAGCATCGTTCATAAAAAAGATTAAATAAAGAATTGCAAGCTTCAGACTAATTTTCATCATTATGAATACAGCTAAAGAACTTTTTTTTTTTTTAGCTACATACTGATTCTACCTTAAAATACTTGTTTTAAATTATTTACCAGGAACAAATCTGTTTTGCACTGCTGTTCACGAATTTGGACATAGCCTTGGTTTGTCGCATACATACAACAGCGATGACATCATGTTTCCGTTCGAGACAAAATGTAGTGAAAACCTCCTGTCAGAAAATGACATAGCTAATATCCAAGAACTTTATGGTAAGTATTTTTTTTCTGTTTGTATTTTGTTTTTGTTTTGTCATTTTTTGCGACCCCCTTCTTTCTATAAAAGGAAGTCTATTAACGCATGATTTTTTAAAAATTGTTTTGTTTATTTCTTCTTTGAATTTATACGAGGATCTCTTAAAAAGTAATACTGATAATTTAAATTTAAATGCATTCTGTCTTGCGACAGCCTAAGGTCCTTTCCGTAGGTATTAATTTTTGATAGTGTTTGTCTTGTATACGCGTGTGTTTTGGCTTCATTGATCCTTTTCGCTAAATACAAGCATTCTGTTGACATGCAGCAGAGGATCAGCTACCTCGGAATGACGGTAAATATCCGACAGTGATGCCCTGGTCTGGAAATTTTGAGGGGTGTGGTACCTGCTCTTAATTACTGGTGTTTCCAGATCCACCCTGACCCGTGATAGTAGCATCTGTTAGAGTTGCAACGATAGTGACCCAACTCAATAAAACACTATGAAATTATAATTAAAAAAAAGAGTAAAAATACCAGTAATGCATTTAGAATTTTATATATATATATATATATATATATATATATATATATATATATATATATATATATGGGGTGACCCCAAAAAACGGCAACTTTTAACAATCCAATAAAACCAAGAGTGATAGAAGAAAAAAATATTTTATTCATAGTAATTGATTTCATTTTTTTAAAATTACGTCCTGTAGATGGCGTCCTCCTGTACGAATGCATTCTTGAAATCTGCTGTTGAGATTCCTCATTGACTGCTGCAACATCTCAGTTGGGATACTGTGAATTTCATCTTGAATTCTAAATGGCGAAATGTTTACTTGCTCAAGGTCACTGTCTCGCAGTGTTGCCACTTGCTCATGTCTGGCAATACGCACTTCAAAAATTCCCATTTTTTGGGTCACCCTGTATATATATATACATATAAAATAGATTTGTTATATGAAAGTGTTGGTAGTAAAAAAAAAACAAAAAAAAAACATAAATGTATTTTAACAAAAAACACCTCACTTAACTTCCAAAAGCAGCAACAATTAAAATGTATAGCACATGTAACTAGAATGAGACATAGTGATATAATCAATGTGTTCGTATTTCACATTACATTGGACAAAAGTTTAGGAAGGAAACTCCGATCAGAAAAAGAAAATGATATAACAACAGACTTAAGAAATTTATTTTCCTGAAAAACTATTTAAAAAAAAAAATGGTCATATAAATTTCAAACGACAATAGCGCTTGGTTCAATGAATGCCGAAAGAAAAGAGTCTCATCTTACAATTGTATTTATTACCGTCATATTTCACTTCGATATTTATAACGTCAGGTGATATTTAGAATATTATTATATTGTCCCATTCGTATCATGCATCAATACAAAACTTAAGAAATAGGAGATATTTACAATAGGATTATATTGACTCAAATATATTTATTACCATTATGATTTTATTTAACATCTAGGACAACTGGAGATATCTACAATTGGATTATATTGACTCAAATATATTTATTACCATTATGATTTTATTTAACATCTAGGACAACTGGAGATATCTACAATTGGATTATATTGACTCAAATATATTTATTACCATTATGATTTTATTTAACATCTAGGACAACTGGAGATATCTACAATTGGATTATATTGACTCAAATATATTTATTACCATTATGATTTTATTTAACATCTAGGACAACTGGAGATATCTACAATTGGATTATATTGACTCAAATATATTTATTACCATTATGATTTTATTTAACATCTAGGACAACTGGAGATATCTACAATTGGATTATATTGACTCAAATATATTTATTACCATTATGATTTTATTTAACATCTAGGACAACTGGAGATATCTACAATTGGATTATATTGACTCAAATATATTTATTACCATTATGATTTTATTTAACATCTAGGACAACTGGAGATATCTACAATTGGATTATATTGACTCAAATATATTTTATTACCATTATGATTTTATTTAACATCTAGGACAACTGGAGATATCTACAATTGGATTATATTGACTCAAATATATTTATTACCATTATGATTTTATTTAACATCTAGGACAACTGGAGATATCTACAATTGGATTATATTGACTCAAATATATTTATTACCATTATGATTTTATTTAACATCTAGGACAACTGGAGATATCTACAATTGGATTATATTGACTCAAATATATCTATTACCATTATGATTTTATTTAACATCTAGGACAACTGGAGATATCTACAATAGGATTATATTGACTCAAATATATTTATTACCATCATGATTTTATTAAACATCCAAGACAACTGGAGATATCTACAATTGGATTATATTGACTCAAATATATTTATTACCATTATGATTTTATTTAACATCTAGGACAACTGGAGATATTTACAATTGGATTATATTGACTCAAATATATTTATTACCATGATGTTTCAATTCGACATCTAGGACAACAGGAGATATTCACAATAGGATTATATTGACTCAAATATATTTATTACCATCATGGTTTTATTTAACATCTAGGACAACTGGAGATATCTACAATTGGATTATATTGACTCAAATATATTTATTACCATTATGTTTCAATTCGACATCTAGGACAACAGGAGATATTCACAATAGGATTATATTGTCTCAATCGTATTATCCCTTAATACAAAATCTAGAACAATATGAGATATTTACAATAGGATTATATTGACTCACATATATTTATTGCCATTATGTTTCCATTCAATATCTAGGACAACAGGAAATATTTACAATAGATAGAAACTGGCGGTCAGGTTTAACCTCGTAAAGATGGAGTTCAAATGTTCTATTGTAGACTCTTTACATTAGTGTAGAAGATGGTGAACCTGTGGCCTATTTTGTTTTCAGGGGTGTTTATTCTGTTTAATTTTTCTGTAGTCATGGTTAGATATCAGATATTGTTTCAGTTGAAGACAATGTAGCGAAAAAAAAACACTCACATGTTATGCGGCTATCAACAACCTGGATTGTATTGTCCGGAAGTACATCCGTAATTGTACACTTCATCATGGCAAGGAGATATCCGAGTAGAAGCAACTGCAGAGTCCAAATACTATTCAAAGCAGTAGTACAATAGCCTTATATTATACATCTACTGATAGGATAGCCTCCTCAGGAGTTACTCAAAAGTTTTGATTCCTGACTAAACCCCAGCAAACTTAATAAAGAGACAAAGAGTCCAGGAAAGAAGATAATCGAGGTATCCTGAATGCAGTGATTGTTCTCGGGACATCTTTGAGTAAAAGATGGAAAAGCGCAAAAATTACAGTATATTTAAAGCAAAAGAAATATTTTAAAAAGTAAAGACGGACACGGTAGAAAATATGTATTCATTATTCCCTTTACAATAGAATCAGCGAGCCAAGATCGATTTCCAACCTATTCTGCTGATTCCTTTTTTGGCACGAACGTTCTTGGGAAAGGAGTGAATCCCTCTTTTTAGCCCCAGCCATTCGTAAAAAAAGTAGTTTAGACTACAGTCTCTAGCGTTGGGTGACAACCGGTCGAGGAGAAAGAAAACTGAAGAACAACTAGCTTTCCTAAGAGGTTATGATAATTCACAGATAACAAGAAAAAGGAGTTTGTGGAGAGCCATGATTGTTAACGTTTTAACATGGCATTAGGAAAATATATAAAATTCATGCGATTTAGCTGAATTCATTTGCACTGAGCATATTAACTTTTGATTTTCTTCATCTCAGAATCTTAAACCATCTTCAAACTACCACTACTACTATTACTACTACTACTACTAAAATAATAATAATAAGTAGTAGTAGCAGTTGTTGTTGCTGTAGTAATCACACAATATGCAAATCGGAGTGAATAAGTGTTAAAATAATTACAAATATACCTTCCTGGTTTCTTCATGGTCACATAAGGTTTCTAAGGAGATAGATAGATAGATAGGTAGATAGATAGATAGATAACATTGACAAAGATGGATAACTCAGGTAGATAAAATAAACTTAATAGATAGATAGATAGATAGATAGATAGATAGATAGATAGATAGATAGATAGATAGATAAAATTACTTAATCACTTTCCACAGGATTTATTATGCATCTATTATGAACTTTTGCTTGACTTTTTCCAGCTCAGAATTTCAAAGCATTTTCAACTACTACTACTACTACTAACAATAATAATAATTAGTAGTAGTAGTATTACAGAAACAATACGGCTTAGAACGGGATCGGCGAGAAGTGTTAAAATGGATATGAATAACATTTGCTGATCTCTTCATGATCCTATCCATATTTATTTTAACATGTCTGTGGCTGAGTTGGTTAAAGATTTCTGTTTGAATAAAAACCAGCTTTAGTTCCCCATAACCACTTTGTTCAATACGAGAAATTACCTTGACCTTTCATACTTCCTCCAACTCCACATTTAGATTATAAAAAGAAATATGTGCTAAACCATAGTCTCTTACACCCTGAAGGGAGATTACATTTCAAAAGAACGGAAAAATGAATATTGGAAGGGATAGGGACGATAATGTGAAGATACCTTTAAAGGGTTGTAAAAGGTTTGAAACCTGAGATAATGGATAATTTGAATTGCCAATGGCTGCGAAATCAACCAGAGTTCTCTCATTTTATAAATAAGACTGAAAATGTTTTTGTTTTTTTTTGTTTTTTTATATCTCTAGGCAAGCCTGATGATTTCATCTCAGCGACCCATAAGTATGGGACCACAAGTATAGCGACGACAACTCTGGAAAAAACCACAGAACCGACAACTGTTCACACGACTCCGTCTTCGGAAGCGACGACGACGACAAAAGAACCTACAACACCAAGCTACACATTTACAAACGTGACATCCGCGGCGACCACACTGCTGACTACAACCACAAATCAAAGAAAATTAACAACTCGCAAGTCTATTTTACCCTTCCCAGAATTGTGCTATGGAATATTAAATGCCATCAACTTCGGTGCGGACGGAAATCTATACGTTTTTATCGGTAAGCTTGATTCAATTTTAACTGTTTCCAAACTGCTTTCAATGTTGTTGCTATGTCTGGTTTGTTGCTCCTGCTAGAGATTCTTGATAGGATCAATAGCTGCATCTATTGCAAGGAAAGTTGGGTCACTGTGTCGTGCCAGAAGTTTTTTTTTTCTCGTCAAAGATGATCTTGTACATTTACAAATCTACCCTTCGTTCGTGCATCGCATACTGTTGCAATATCTGGTTTGTTGCTTCTGCTGTATAACTAGAGATTCTTGATAGGATCACTAGCTGCATCTATTGCAAGGAAAGTTGGGTCACTGTGTCGTGCCAGAAGTTTTTTTTTTTCATCAGAGTTCATCTTGTACATTTACAAATCTACCCTTCGTCTGTGCATCGGATACTGTTGCCATATCTGATCCGGTGTTCTTGCTACTCATCTTGAGGTTCCTGACAAAATCCAAAGAAGATATGAAATGTAATCGATCCTGACTTAGCATTTCACTTTCAGTTACTTTCTTACTACCATAATATAGCTTCTCTTTATCTTTTTTATAAGTATCTCAGACTGTTCATTATCTATCTATCTATCTCGGATTGTGCATTATCTATCTATCTCGGATTGTGCATTATCTATCTATCTATCTATCTATCTATCTATCTATCTATCTATCTCGGATTGTTCATTATCTATCTATCTCAGACTGTTCATTATCTATCTATCTATCTATCTATCTATCTATCTATCTATCTCAGACTGTTCATTATCTATCTATCTATCTATCTATCTCAGACTTCTCATTATCTCTCTCTCTCTCTCTCTCTCTATATATATATATATATATATATATATATATATATATCAGACTGTTCATTATTTATCCAACTCTGTTCCTTATCTATCTATCTATCTATCTATCTCAGACTGTTCATTATCTATCTCAGACTGTTCATTATCTATCTATCTATCTATCTCGGATTGTGCATTATCTATCTATCTATCTATCTATCTATCTATCTATCTATCTATCTCGGATTGTTCATTATCTATCTATCTATCTATCTCAGACTGTTCATTATCTATCTATCTATCTCAGACTCTCATTACTTCTCTCTCTCTCTCTCTCTCTCTCTCTCTATATATATATATATATATATATATATATATATATATATATCAGACTGTTCATTATTTATCCATCTCTGTTCCTTATCTATCTATCTATCTATCTATCTATCTATCTATCTCAGACTGTTCATTATCTATCTCAGACTGTTCATTATCTATCTATCTCAGACTTCTCGTTATCTATCTATCTATCTATCTATATCTATATATATATATATATATATATATATATATATATATATATATCAGACTGTTCATTATCTATCCAACTCTGTTCATTATCTATCTATCTATTTCACTCTCTTCATTATCTATCTCTCTACGCCCGTGCATGGAATATTGTTGTCATATTGGCTGTAGTTCTCTTGCTGTGTGTCTCAAGATTCTCAACAAAATCAAAGAAGGATCTGCAATGTAATCAGTCATGATTTGGTATCTCGACTTTAGTCACTACTCACCATCGTAACGTGACTTTTCTGTCTCTTCTACAAATATTTTCATGGCTGCTTTTCTGATGAGCCTTCTTCCTTGGTGCCTCGACTACATGAATTTAAGTGTGCCACTAGATTGCCAACTAGGACCCACCGTTTTCTGTTGAACTAGCTATATACAACCACCACTTCTACTCTAACATTTTATTTTCTCGCACTTCTTGCCTGTGAAGCTCCCTTTCGGTTTCTTACCTCCCTGGCAACTACAATCTTCAAAAATGTAAATGCAACATCAATCGACATCTTCTGTCTTCTTGAGTCCTGTTTCTTTTTTGATCTTTACTCAATCCTCGCGACTAAAGTCTTCTCATTCTCTTTCACTCCCTGTCGCCCCCCTTGCGTATTAGTGGCATTGTCGCCTTGGTTGGAGTGAACAGATTAAAAAAAAACAATATCTGTCTATATCTATGAGATGAGGTATTATGATTACTTGCATTATTTACATTATTCTGACTGTTATCCTCATCTTTATTGCCATATTCAAAAGATTTCGGTCGTTGTACGCTCCGGCCTTTCTTTATTTTTATCTTTCTTTCTTTCTCTCTCTGGGCCTATTCTCGTTCTTTTCGCTCCTTTTTTTCTCTCTTTCTTTCTTTTTCTCTCCTTCTTTATCTCTCTCTCTCTTTTTCTCTCCTTCTTTATCTCTCTCTCTTTCTTTTTCTCTCCTTCTTTATCTCTCTCTCTTTCTTTTTTCTCCTTCTTTATCTGTCTTGCTTTCTCTTTCATTTTTCACTTTTCTTTCTTTCTTTTTTCTTTCTGTCTCTCTTTCTTTCTTATTCTAACCTTTCTTTCTCTCTCTCTTTCTTTACTTGCTTAAGCCCGTTAGGTATGTCATGCGTTGTTTTCCCTTGTCTCTCTCTCCCTCTATTCGACCCGTGAGTATCAGATTCTCCAGGCCCTCCTTCCTCATTATGTATCCCAGAAACTCCAGCTGCCTCTTACTGATGTTAAGTATAAGCCTCTTCTTTGTTTGTATTCTCCCTAAGACCTCATCGTTGCTCACACGCTCGGTCCATAATATCCTTAGCATCCTTCTGTAGGACCACATCTCCGTTGTCTCTTCTTCTTCTTCTTTGAGGAAATCGTCCAATATTCTCTGCCGTAAAGAAGGACAGTATCCTTTCCTTTGTTACCAAATAAATCCTCCTCTGCCCAGCTTTTGAAATGCGTCCTTGGCCATCCCAATACGTCTACGGATCTCAGTGTCGCACTTACCGTCCTCTGACAAAATGCTTCCCAGATATTTAAACTTCCGCGTCTACTTCATTCTGGTGTTCCGAACCTGCAAATCGCATTTCGGGCTCGTCCTTTTACTGATGACCATGCATTCTGTCTTCTTGTAGTTTATGCTTAGTCCCTTCTTCTCACTCTCTGTTGCTACCTTCTGTAAGAGATTTTGTAATTTCTTTTCTGTGTCTGCTATCAGTACTGTGTCATCTGTCTATTTTATGTTGTTAAGATTTTGGCCGCTAATGGTAAATCCCGGTAGGGTTTCCAGTTTTCTCAGAATTGTCTCGCTGTATAAGTTGAAGAGGTTGGGTGAAAAGATGCATCCTTGCCTTACACCCCTTTCTATTTTGTATATTTACTGAACTCGTTCTCTCTGCGCACGCATGCTGTTTGCTGCCTGTATAGGTCCTTGATTATTCTATCTTTCCCGAATATATCGAGGTTGCTGTGCATTTCCATCAGATCCGCGTGGCGTACTTTGCCAAAGGGCTTAGCGTAGTCTATGAAACATAAGCACACGCCCGTCTGCATTTGTATTGCACTTTCTGATAAAATTCTAAGCATGAATATCGCGTTCCTTGTTCCAGTGTCTTTAACGAACCCGCACAGTTTTTGTCCTATCTCTGGCCTGATTCTGCTGCGCGCTCTGTTCATCAAAATACAGTCACCAAATTCACAAACCAACCTGAATCAACAAGCTTCTGATGAAGGTTGAAGTGCACAACGGCCGAAACGTTGTGATAATAGTAAAAAACATTAGGACAATAGTCCGTCTGTAATTAATGTCTACATTTATTTTATCCTGTATTTTCGAGTGATAAATATATTCGCCTTTCTATTTATTTACCAAACTTTCTGATATGTGATCATATCCTTTGTTTTTTATATTATTATGTCACAACCAAAATCCTTTCTTTTGGAAAGCTTCGATTGATGTAATGAACGACTATTCCATACATACATCAAACCAAGGTGAATTAATTTATATATTTCATGTCTCCATCTCTAGGGAAAAGAGAGGCAAATCGTGCTGAGTGAATTTCTGAGTGATTACTTCCCTTGGTTTTTTTAATAATCTATGCAAACAAAGTATTTATCTGCATCTAACCAAAATGAACCGTTTAATTAAGGAGCTCCTTTACTCCTATGTTTCTTAGATTGCAGTTTTATTTGTTCAAGCCTTTCATGTGAGGCACTCAGATACATTTGTCTATTAAGTGATCTCCTTTCTTCAATTTTATCAGGAAACAGGCTTTGTTGTCGTCGTCTTTGTCACTCTGTTGTTAATCTTATTCTTCCGAGAGATATTTCCATTTCACTGCTATGTTAAACACGTAATACTTTTTAACTTGAAAAGACACTGAACAAAAAGCGATTTATATAATGCCAGGACCAATCAGTGAATCATAGATACCATTGAGCGTCTATAAAATATAAAGTGAACGGATCAATTAGACGGTTCATTGGCATCCTTTTTAGTCGTGATTTTTTTTTTATTTCCGCTTAAATTGAATCTCAATACATTGGTTTAAGAATTTTGTTTCGTTGCATCGTTCTGTTAAAACTTTCTAATAATTGCTGTCATTTTTACGGCACGGGTACACCAGAAAATTCCTAACACAGAATTGGCGTATTAGCTTAAGCAACAAGCGGGTGTGAAAAAGACTTCGAACACAATAGTCAAATAGAACACATTTGGCCTCTGTGCACAGCGATCGATCAAATCTTCCACAAAGAATGAATAATATTTTTTAGATTAACACAATCTCATTTTCTAACCAATTAAAGGCTTCCTCTGCATCCATCTTCTTTCTTTTTTTTTTTTTTTTTTTTTTTTTTTTTTTAGCCTAGAAAATTAGTCCGTGGGATCCGTCTTGGCCGAAGATAAATATTTTTTATTTATTTATTTATCTATATGTATTGCCACAACTGGTGTCTAATCCAACTACTGAAATTTATCTTGTTGATCAATAAGTTACATTCTCTGATCCTGAAAGCAATAACACCTGCTTTATCCTATATATTCATGTGATAAATACGTTCGCCTTTTTTTTTCAGTTGCCATATTGAATCATGTTTATCATATAGAATCTGTTTTCATTTTTCTTCCTGAAGTCAGGTGTCATTAACCAAAAATTCTTCAGCTGAAATGATCTGCTAGGGTACATGTGCTAAACACTTTATGCTTTGAAATTTTCTCGGAGATTTTCTTTTCTTTTTAATCTGGTGGGTTGATTTTTGTTTAACAGCATATCAACCTCTATGGGTTATTTAATGCTGAAAATGGAAATATTTTGAACGTGTTATAATAAACGTTTGATTGCGAGAAAAAGGAATAACGAGGATTAGAGTTTTGAACAAAATGTATTTATTTAATATGTGGAGTGTCTTACAGAGATGTCAAAAATGTTGAAAAAGTCAATCTCTTGTGCAGATCGTCAGGATGGCGATTGTCGATAAGAAAAACACCTGAAGTTGGCCTCTTTCTTGTGCTGGTGTGACCGAAATCACAGAATATGGTCCGCGCACACTGTGGGTAGATTTCGTTGGTTGGTAGGCCTGTTCTATGGATTGGGACCGCGGTGATGACTACAAAAGGAATGCCTTCTAGCGAGTCTTGTATGCTGAGGTGACGGCGATGGGTTGCCGAGTGGTGTAGGATTAGCGTGGTTGGTATTTGCTGAGGTGACAGTGTCAGTGACGATGAAGACTTGTAGCTGGGTGGTATCGAAGTTGAGATGCTATTATCTCGGATCTGGATAACCGAAGTGGTTAGTCAAGCCTGGGAGTGGTAACTATCGTTGAGAGGATTTGTCATGTTGAGAGGCGGCGGAGGCGGTTGCAGCAACATCAGCAGCAGCAGCAGCGCAACGCGTGACGGCCGGTGGCCTCTCGGCCCTCAACTACCCTGTTCGTTGTCGAACACCTGCTTTTAAGCAGATCTGTTAGTCCCCAGGGATATCTCTTTTTCTGGAACGAACGTTTATGATTAGCCAGTGTCACTTTCATTGCGGGGGCCCAGACTCGGAGCCTATGCGCAGAGAACAACTTTTTTTCATTTCGTTCTCTGCTTTTATGGCGTTCACATCCGGTCAGCATGCAGAATGAACCAGAAAGAGATCTAATTGCAACGGAGTATAGCAAACACAACTGTATGCATTCAAGTACAGATAAAATATATTGTTGTTCATTTTACTATAAATATGGATTTTCGGTTGGTTGATATTTTTTTACAAGCATATCCACCTTTATGGGATATTTATGCTGAAGTCTTAATATTTTGCCCATAATTTTATACTTTCAGGGTAAAGGTATTTTTTAAATATAAATAAATAAAAATATTACCAGCAATACATTTTTGGAAAAAAAAATAAATAAATAAAAATATTACCAGTAATACATTTTTGGAAAAAAAAAAATAAATAAAAATATTACCAGCAATACATTTTTGGAAAAAAAATAAAAATAAAAATATTACCAGCAATACATTTTTGAAAAAAAAAAAAATAAATAAAAATATTACCAGCAATACATTTTTGAAAAAAATAAATAAATAAATAAAAATATTACCAGCAATACATTTTTGGCAAAAAAAATAAATAAATAAAAATATTACCAGCAATACATTTTTGAAAAAAAATAAATAAATAAAAATATTACCAGCAATACATTTTTGAAAAAAAAAATAAATAAATAAAAATATTACCAGCAATACATTTTTGAAAAAAAAAAATAAATAAAATATTACCAGCAATACATTTTGAAAAAAATTAAATAAATAAAAATATTACCAGCAATACATTTTTTGAAAAAAAAAAAAAATATTACCAGCAATACATTTTTTGAAAAAAAAAAATAAATAAATAAAAATATTACCAGCAATACATTTTTGGAAAAAAAATAAATAAAAAAAAATATTACCAGCAATACATTTTTGAAATAATAAAGAAATAAATAAAAATATTACCAGCAATACATTTTTTGAAAAAAATATTACCAGTAATAAAAATGTTGTCGGCATTAAATAACCAAATGAGTTTGATATGCGGTAAAACAAAAGTAACCAAACCAATATATAGTGAGATAGATAGATAGACAGACAGACAAAAATATTACCTGTAATAAAAATATGGTCGGGATTAAATAACCGATTGGGGTTGATATACCGTAAAACAAACCAAACCAAACCAGGTTTCAATGTTTTTTGTTTGATCTCTATGGCAAAAAACACACACACACAATCTGACAATGTTTTTCTTTATTCCTCGGCTCCTTGTGCCCTTCTATTAGGTTGGTGCAAAAATAATGACGTAATAATGTCGTTTTTGACGTCTTTTAACGTCAAAAAACGACATTCTTACGACATTATTTTTGCACCAACCTAATAGAAAATATTTAAACCCTTACTGCTAAACTCAAGCATTACAAGAGATAGATCAAACCAAGAATGGATTATGTGGGTTGGTACTGTCCAGTCATCACTCTCCAGCTTTGACAGAGTTCAAAAGCGTTGTGGGGGATTAAGAATTTAATTAAAGTGATTAAAAATTTTCCAGCCTGCAGCTCTTATCCCAGAAACGAAAATGT